CTTTCCCCAGGCATCTGCATGGCTCCCTCCTTCAGGCACATCAGCTCTCTTATCAAGTGTCACCGTCTCACTGAGACCGTCCCTGACCAGTCTTCTTAAAATTGTTACAACCTCATTGCCAGTATTCCTTATGCTCCTTCTGTGCTTTATTTTTCTTCATGATCTTATCTGGCAAATATATGTCACTTGTTCATGATCCTCTCCCCCCGCTAGTCAAGAATATCCTGTTTAGTTCACTTCAGTTTCCCCAGTGCCTAGAATAGTGCCTGATACACCGAATTGGTGCTAATTTTGAATGAATCGATTTGACACCTCCCCCCTCCTATTTTACTTTCCTCTGATGTCAGTTTCTTTTAACAAATGTGTGCAGGCTAGCCCTAATCCTCTCCATTCTTCATAGTCTCTATATCATGATTAAAATGGCCTCCTGTAGGGACCAGCAGTTAGTGTAATGGCTATGTCGCTGGACTCCCATGTAGTCGACCACAGTTCAAGTCCCAGACCCAGTGGCTTAAATTCACACCAGGCACGTGTGTGTGAGTGCACAAGATCCTGAGAGGAGAAGGGGGGAGAAGGGATTGCAGCGTGGCCATCCCCCCTGGGGGGTGATTTCTTGCTTTCTGTCTTTCTGACAAGCACATGTGCCCTATAGTAAAAACCTAAAAAAAAGAAAAAAAAAAAAAAGCCTCTGTAGAAAGTTAATCTCTCATTGTCCATTCTTCTGAAATCATTTAGAAATGGTATCTTCTCTTTAGGAAGCTGTAAGTGAATAGATGTTGTATGATACAAGCTGCTGCTTCTCTTAATTAATTTTCTTTTTTTTTCAGATTTAAAGGAATCAAGAAAGATGACATTCTTGGAGTTTCCTATAACAGGCTGATTAGAATTGATGCAGCCACTGGGATTCCAATTACAACATGGAGATTTGCAAATATGAAACAGTGGAATGTAAATTGGGAAATCCGGCAGGTAAAGAAAGGGAAAGTCTTTGGTATTCATTGTTGCACCTATAAATATGTGTTCCCTCAGAAATATAGATTACTCTGACTTTAAAAAGGTATTTTCATTTTTTTTCCCCAGAGGTTTTTGCCTTAAGGCATTCTCCAGAGATAGAGAGTAAAACAGAGACAGTGAGAGGGAAAGTGAGAAATCACCTCCGAGAGGGGTATGGCCACACTGCAATTCTTTCTCCTCCATTCTCCTGGGATTTTTGAGCATACACACACACACACACACACACACACACACACACACGGTGTGATTTTGAAGCCACTGGGTCTAGGACTTGAACTGCAGTAGGCCATGTAGGAGTCCAGCGATATAACTGTTATATCATCTGCTGGTCTGGTATTCTCATATTTCGAACTAAAAAAACACACGCTTGTGGTCATTGTCTGCTAAGATAATCACATCCAGTTCCAGGAACTTTCTTAACAAGTACAGGCCAAATGTTCTTGAATTAACACCTCAAGTTGGCTTAGTCTCCCCGGGGACTGTCCATATGGACAGCCCCTAAAATTGCTGAGCAGCTTGATTTATTTTCACCAACTCAGCATAGGATGATGTAAGACTTAGGCTGATAATTACTTAGCAGAAACAAGCTGAGTTGTTACACACACACACACACACACACACACACACTCCAAAGCAGGGCTCGCTGACTGGCTGCCAAGAGAGCCAGCTGGTTAGGAGTGCAAAGGCTTAGTTGCCCACCTGGACAGCATCTGGACACCAAAGGGAAAACTGCAGGAAAAGCAAGTAGGTGCCCGGAGATGACTGAGGAAAGCTCAACCTTTCGAGATGAGGGACCCTGAAACCTCAGCCTGTGTTACAGCCTCCCCTTATCTCCCATGCTAGGAGCTAAGTTGAGACCAAGCTGGTAACACAGAAAATTCTAGGTGAAGTTAGAGGCACCTAGCATCTACTGAAAATTGTTTTTTTAATTCTGATGTTGCTGATATGGAATGTCTTCCCTCGTTCCTTAAGCATTCTCATTTCTCCAGTAGAAAGCCATCGGTGTAAGGGAATGGTAAGAGACCGTGCTTTTCTGCATCTCTCTCAGTGGTGCTGATTACCATCTGAGCCCTCATTTGTAGGATGTAGATCTGAGATTAGATGTGACTTCTGAGCCACCTCTAAAACTTTAATGCATGTTAGGATCACCTGGGGCACTTTAAAATACCATATCTGAGCCACAGCCAAGACCAATTAAATCTGAATCTCTAGAGTGGGAGCCGGGCAATAGTCATTTTAAAAGTTCCACAGGTTATTCCAATGGTTGAGAACCAGCGACATCTCAGGACCAGCAGATGGCGTAATGGCTACATCATTGGACTCCCATGTAGTCGACTGTGGTTTGAGTCTTGGACCCAGTGGCTTATTTGAGTCTTGGACCCAGTGGCTCAAACTCACGCCAGGTTCATGTGTGTGTGTGTGTGCCCAAGATTCCAAGAGGAGAATGGAGGAGAAAGGATTGAGGCGTGGCCATTCCCCCAAGGGGTGATCTCTCACTGTCTGTTTCTCTGTCTCTATCTTTCTGGCGAGTGCATGTGCTCTGTAGCAAAAAAAAAAAAAAAAACCCAAAAAAAAAAAAAAAGGACCAGTGACATCTTGAACTAAGTCTTTCTTCTGGTAATTAGAGTTTATGACATTCATCTGTGAACAGGTGCAGCCGGAGACTGTAGGAAAATTTAGGCAAGCATTTTATTCTCTATTAAAAAGTCTGCAAAACACCTCGCCCCTTTCTCTCTCTCCTTTTTCTTTTTAAATTTTAATGGATGCATCATAAGTATACATATTTATGGTGTACAATGTGATGTTTCAATACATAAATACAGGAGCCAGCAGATGGCATAGTGCTTACGGTGCTGGGTGCTGGACTCCCACACAACCAACCGCATTTCAAGACCCAGACCCGATGGCTTGAAATCACACTGAGCACTTGTGTGTGCATGCCCAAAATCCCAGAAGGAAAATGGAGAAGGGATTACTATGTGGCCATCCAACTGCGGGAGCTGATTTCTCACTTTTCCTCAAACTGCCTCTCTATTTCTCTCCAACAAAAACCCAAAAAAAAAAAAAAAAAAAAGAGACATAGGGGCATTGTATAATGATCAAATCAGGGTATTGATCATATCCATCTTTTTTTTTTTTTTTTTAAGAGAGAAATTTTTGCTATAGGGTGTGGCGCTCGCCAGAAAGACAAAGAGAGAGAGACAGAAAGCAAGAAATCCCAGGGTGATGGCCATGCCGCAATCCCTTCTCCTCCATTCTCCTCTCAGGATCTTGGGCACGCACGCACACATGCCCGGTGTGAGTTTAAGCCACCAGGTCCGAGACTCAAACTGCAGTCAACAACATGGGAGTCCAGCGACATAACCATTCCGCCAACTGCTGGTCCCAATATCCATCTTATCTAAGGAAGAGATAGACAGAAAATAATACATGTATCTGGAGGTAGAATATTTTTAAGAATTACTTTATTTTATTTATTATAATTATTATTATTTAATTTGACCAGAGAGAGACAGAAAGGGAGAAAGAGAGAGGGAAACTGAGAAAGTAAGCCACTGGGTCCAGGATTTGAACCCAAGTCAACCATATGGGAGTCCAGTGCCTCAACCACCACACCGCCTGCTGCCCCCCTGGGTTAGAACATTATACCAGGTGTGCAACAAAGTCGACAATTACAAGAGGGCACAAAGAGAATGAAGACGTTTTCTGTAAGCATTCAATAGTAGTGGTGGTTTTCTAGTTCTTTTAGGAAATCCATCTGCCAGCCACCTCAGTGGTCCTCAGCTCCAAGCGCCATCTCCAACAAAGCTTCCTTCTTGCCTTGCCTTGTCAGAGTTTAAGCTGATCCACACCTTCCTCTTCCAGGTGGTGATTGAGTTTGACCAGGACGTCTTTATTGCATTCACTTGCCTGAGTGCGGATTGTAAGATCGTGCACGAATTTATCGGTGGCTACATTTTCTTGTCCACCCGCTCCAAGGACCAGAATGAAACACTTGATGAGGACCTGTTCCACAAATTGACTGGCGGCCAGGACTGAAGGGAAGCAAGCCTTCTTGACCTACGCAGACAGGGCGAGCCAAGGGCGGTCCTCCCTGGACAAATGGGATCCATGACTTGCCCAGTGCATAGATTCCAACTGACAGACTATGTATACTCAGCAGCAGTCATCCCGATCCTCACCTCGGTTCAGACACCTGCTAGCACATCCTTTCCTTACTTGACCCTGAGCCAGCAACTAAAGAAAAGGCTTCTGTTACCTTACCTGTAAGACGAGTGGGTGGAGAAAGGGAGGTACTCTACCATTGCTCTGAGGTCCATCATGTAACTACAGTTCAGTGACTTACAAACCCTGCAGCATGGCTAGAAGTTGTCCTTGGGCTCCCAGCCTCATTACTAAGTCAGTGGAGAAGACAGAAAGATTACATGAAGCCAGTCCAAATCCTATTCCATAAACTCAGGTAGGAAAAGAAACATGTCTTTCCTTCATGGAGCTGCTTTTAGTTCCCATCTTGTCCAAGTGATGGAGGGAATCCCTATACACAGTTTTTTTTTTCCTGGAGGTCTGGGATGGATGGGGGATCAGCAACATTACCTGGTACCAGTGGCAACAAGTGGTCAGAGCAGTGGCTCTCGGTATCCTTGTCCACACTGGCATTTGCCAAGGTGACCGTTGACCCATCTGGTCTCGTTCATTGGTTCTTTCACATTACTGCTGCCACCCACAAGCCCTGTTCTGTTCCTGGGGATTCTACATCCACCTTCCAGTTCATCTTCAAGACATGGGTGACGGAGATTCCTCAACCCAGATCCTTGTCTCATCACCTTCTACTGTGGATTGGGGCTCAGGAAGATGGCACAGTTCTCTGTTCATGGAAACCACCTCCCAGCATTGAGGATTTCATGCCTCCTGGTCAGGAGAAGATCAGACCTGTTCTGAAAGACTACCACACTCAAGGTCTGACAGCGCCTTACTAGTGGCCGCTGCAGAGACGTCAGCTAAACTGGATGGCAGGACAGTGCCCCTCTTACCACTGCCCAGTGTTCTCCTGGATTTGCAGTCCATGTTTCTGTCATTCCTGGCTTTGTCTTTTTTTTTTTTTTTTTAATTTACTAGAGGGTGTATGTGCTCACCAGACACAAAAAGGAAGTGAGAGAAAGCATTCCCCAGTGGGGCATGGTCATGCTCAATCCCCTCTCCTCCATTCTGTTGGGATTTGGGGCACACACATCCATGTGCCCAGCATGGTTTTTAGGTCACTTGGGCTAGTATTTACTCCACACAGTCAGCCATGTGGTATCCAGCTCAATCCCTGGTCACTAGGCCAACCCCATTCTTGGCCATTTCAAAATCACAAGCCACTAATAGAGTTGTTTTTCCTCTGCTTTTTTGCTGTGTCATCCCTACCTTGAGTAGTTGCCTAAAGTGTCATTTTCTGTTTTGGTTCATTGATGGTGGTAAAAGTGGTTTTGAGAAGGTGAAAAGCCATACCACATATCATGAGAAGTATCAGATAATATTTTATTATGTTCTGCCCCACAAAGAATTTGGGTGGCAAGGATAAGGCCAAGCAAGTCTCCAATTCTATTTTGCAGTTCTCTTAGGATGCACCCTCAGGGGGCCTGACCAGAGCTGGATGGCCATAAGCATCAACTGGTTGTTTTTGTTTGTTTGTTTGTTTGTTTGTTTTGACAAAGCTGTCTGAGAAGTGAGATCTTGGCAATTCTAGGAACCACAAAGAAACAGCCATGACTAGGGAATCCCCTGGCTCTGAGCCAAAAGTCTAGAAAAATCTATCTGCCTCTTTTTAGAGGTGACTGTTAATGAGGCTTCTGGGGCACCAACTGAATTTCTGATGCCTAATTTAAGATTAGAGGTAGTTTAAGCACTTGGAAAATATGGCTTATATCACTTAATTGTAATGTTTTATATAGAAACTAGTGCTAAGTATACTGCATTTAACTAGGAGTTGGTCATTTCTTAATAGCCCTGGGCTCTGTTATTTTAGAACCTAGTTGGGTCTTTAAGAGTATGTTATAGGCCAGCAGGTGGCATGGTGGTTAAAGCACTGGATCCCACATGACTGACTGCAATTCGAATCCCGGACCTGGTGGTTTGAAAAACACAAGGTATGAGTGCATGCATGCTCAAAGTCCCAAGAGAAATATAGAGGAGAAGGGATTGTGGTGTGGCCATCTCCCCTGGGAGTAATTTCTCATTTTCCTTCTCTCGGAGTCTATCTCTCTCTGGCGAGCGCACACATCTTAAGGCAACAACCTCTAAAAAAATTTTAAAGAAATAGTTTTGTGTCATTAATCAAAGCCAGACCTTCAGACCTTTAGTTCAGCTCCTTAGCTTTTCATGGTTGTCTGACAGTTCCATAAAAATGCTCAAAGGAATCGATCCTTCTTAACCAAACTTTCTTGTTGCTTCGCAGAAACGCTTCAAGGGACGTTTGTTCTGTGCCTGCATGGCACCATCCCACAGAATAAGCGAGCGTGACAAGAACACCTTAAACACTGGTGTTCCAAAGAGTTTTATGGGTGTTTTGTTTTGTTTTTTGTACACTGAGTACAAAGGTTCATCTAACTTCTTGTGATGACATTTTAAGTTCCTGTGTGCCTTTCCACGTCATTTGCTTTCTTATCTGTACTAGATATGGAAATCTGCCATTTTTATTATTTTATATGACTTTTTAAAGTAAAAGGTTTATACATTATAGATTTGAAAATGGTTCAGGTGTGTCCTTCCACCATGCTGCCTCTAAGTGAAGATGTTTTCTGTTATGAAGAAAGTACAGCTGTCAGGCCTACCCTGCACCTTTCTGCACGGTTCCACAATCCAAGTGCGTTCTCCCCAGTGGTGGGGAGCAGCCAATGACACGAGTCCTCGGAGACCCACTTAGAAACCTCACTTCAGCACTGGTTTCAACTCCCTCCTCGCTGGCTCAGTCATCAGATTTTCTGACATATCTTGCTGTATCGTGAGCTCTTTTGTCCTTTCCCAGACCTGCCTTTTGGAGGAAATACCACAAAACAAAGGAATAAATGCCCAGAGGCAAAGGAACAGCAGAAGACTTCCAATTTTGACAGCCAAACATTGAAGATAGTTCTTCGTTTTAGTGATAGGCAGTCCCCTATGGGTAGAGTGACTGGAGTTTATAGGTATCCCTTCATGCAATTCTCACATCAACCCCTAGGGGGCAGGAACACTTTGCTTTCTCATCTTACAAAGGCGAAAGGTTCATACCGTTAAGTAACTTGCCCAAGGTCACCACCAAGAAATGAAACTGAGATGCAGTGCCAAGTTTGTCATAACTCCAAAAAAGATTGAGAGTAACCTAATAAACCCTGCTTTTCCTTCTCTAGCCCTGCTCAGCTTTGAAATGCTCGCCCCACCTCTCAACCCAGCTCTGTGCTCCAATGCAAGGTTCAGGGCATTGGGGGACTGCGGCTGCTCCAGAGGTGGCTGGGAGAGGAGCTCTGATCCAAAAAGGTCCCCCAAAAGGAGCTAGAGAAATGCGGTCCTTAATAAGTGTTTTCTTTTTGATTCTGAGAAAGTTGCATTTTCAGTCTCAAGGTCAAAAAAGTAAGGCAATGGGAACCAGCAGTTAGTGTAATGGCTATGTTGCTGGACTCCCACGTAGCCGACCGCGGTTCGCGTCCCGGACCCGGTGGCTTAAAACTCACGCCAGGCTCGTGTGCGCGCATGCCCAAGATCCCGAGAGGAGAATGGAGGAGAAGGGATT